TGTTTGGGGCCATTTTTTTTTTTTTTTTTTTTTTTTTTCTCTTCATTGCATTGGGTCATTCTTTTTGTGAAAGTAAAATGTCTAAAAACAAATGTTTTTGAGCTACTCTAATCTACTGTTTTAACTCCGTTAAATGACTGTTGAACAGTTGCCTAAAATATGGCTAAACTTTGACATCACCCCCCACAGTGATGTTTTTTCAGGCCCAACAGAAAGCATCCGCCGACAAAACCAACCAGTGTTTGATCCTGTTCCCAGTCTGCCTCCATTGAATAAGAGATTAGAGACATTTTGTCTTTCTTTATGTGGATCAGGAATGTCTGGCAGAGTAAAATCTAACCCACACAGTCATAAATGACATCCTAAATGGCTGTTTACGCCTAATATTGTACATTATTTAACAGCACCTGCTTAAAGAATAAGGTTAACAATTGCTAAATCACCTTGATTCAGCCTTGTTGATTCTTTCTTCATCCATTTACTATTTTCTGTATTCAATACAGAAAAGAATGTGGCCTAAAATTCTACACCAATTTATCAAAATATGGTTAAAAATAAAACACTAAAAACTAAATCAACAGTTATAAATGCTATATGTGAATTTACGCATCAAAACATATACACTATGAAAAACTGATATTAATTTTAAGATTTGCTAATGATTACATTTAACAGTGTTATTTAATTATTAGTGTTTTTAAATGTTAACTTTAAATGAGCCTTTAAATGTTAAAATAGAAAAAATGAGCATGCACAATTAAATATCCAACATCACACAATAGCAATCGAAAAAAATAGTCAAATCTGCTGATAACCTACATTGCAACAATACATTTAATTCATCCCTAATTTACAGTGGACTGCTATGAGAATTTGGCTGAAGTCGTTTCTTTAAAAGACTGTTTAGATTCATATAGTTTGGCTTTTATCATTAACTCTGTTGTTTTGTCTTTTAACAGGATTTGAGCACATTCACATCCTCTCTTATGGACAGGGAGACTGACGGAGCAAATAAAGATGAAATGCGCAAGGTAAAATACACAAAATCATAATCTTTTTCAGAATTTGTGCAAAATTAGACTGATTTAGACTGAGTTGAGTTTTTGTCCATACTACATTTCCATATACTTCCATATGAAGTAAAAACATATATGAAACCTATTAGAACAATTTCATGTATGTGTAATACATTTTGGACATATATGTCATGTATATGTATATCCTTTCTAAATCCCGTCAATACACGTTGATATTATATAAGTAAATATATACATATACATGTATGTTGTTTTAAATAAAGTTGCATGTATAACTAAAAGTTATATTGTTGACATGTATGATTGCTACATATAATACCATAAAAATTAATCATATAGATATTATTAACATATGAGAATGTATGTATTTCAATTAACTGTGCATGTAATTGTATGTAATTTAATTAACTGTGAAAAATATATATTGCCTTATAGGTAAGATATATGGCTATATAAAGTGTAATATACTGTATGTCATTTATTACATTTCTGTATGCAGTGTTCCAAATCAGTCACTTCAGTTCCAGTTCAGTTAGCATGCTTCCTTATAAAGCCTCTATTGTATGTAGACAGTAGAGCAAGACTAGGACACTGGGTTTTGGAGCAGATCCATTGCATGTGCGGTTTGAAGGAATGATGTGTGGATTGTTACACCATGGGTTATATTACACAGAAATAGAGCTGACTTGACTAAACATGCACTTGAGCAATGAAGACAAGGTTTGTTATTAAAGAAAAGAGTTGGGAGTTGCTCATGAATAAAAGGCGAGGCAAACTTTCTTTACACATGCTGTTCTGTTGTTTCAGATTCAACGATTTAAATGCTTTCTTTATGGCTACGGATGATGATTTTGCACAGAAATGGAAAAAAAGATGCCAGTAATTAAATGGAAAGAAACTTTAGCATGTGCCACGATTTCTAATTGAATTGTATAAATGGCAGTATTTGTTAAATGAAGGTCAGAGTGAAATGGTCGACCCATGCATAAGTAGTTCTGCATTATTTATTTCCATATTACAGCCAACTCTAATGGCTTTTATATTTTTTTTGCCTTGTTGATACGTGTCTAATATTAAACTTGAATTAACTGTGCCAAATATACAGTGCCTATAAAAAGGATTCATGCTCTTGGATGTTTTCATGTTTTATTATTTTACAACATGTAATATAATATATATATATATATATATATATATATTAGAGTGTTGTCACGGTACCAAAATTTCAGTATTCAGTACCAATACCAGTGAAAATCCACGGTTCTCGGTACCAATTTCGGTACCAAAGCAAAACACAAAAACATGCTAATTGTAATTGAAACTTACCTGCTTGAACTTGATCGGGGTGTTTTGTTAGTTTGATGCGTTTCCTCCTCTTGAGGTCGCCACTGCTTTTATGAAGAGGTTGCCAGGTTTTCACAACAAAACCCGCCCAATCGCGTTTCGAGGGGTCCCCGTTAAAAATCGCGTTCCGGGGATAAAATACGCGCGTTTTGGCGGGGTTCACCTGGTAAAATTCGCATTCCAGGGGCTAAATATCACGTTAATGGGGTCGTTTTTCAACCCGCAGACATGAAAAACAACCCGCGGCAACAGTGTTAAAGCAGCCCAATTCCGCGGGAAAACCACGGACTTGGCAACACTGGAAGAGGATAGTTTTCTGATGGCGCATCAAGAACCGGTACTTAAGAAAACCTGGTACCGTAACGTTTTCATTTTTTTAGTACCGACTTGGTACCGAAATACCGGGTCTTTTGACAACACTAATATATATATATCTCACCCACTCAGAGCTAAGCTGGAAGGTGACGCCTACCCTTCCTCTTGTAATCAAAACCAAACAGAGCTGGGACAATGAAAACAGCCTGTGATGCAACAGCAACCTAGTATATGGGCACATTAACAAATAAACAATGTAAGTGTTTGCCAAAGAGTTGAAGGTCAACGCTTTGAAATACTAACTTTTAGGGCACTAGGCTCACTGCCGGCTTCACTCAAAACTGATTGTCCATTGTGGAATGAAGTATGAGAAAACATAACTTGCTTTCAGGTGTGGCTTTGTGTACTAAGTTCAGCCACACTAAGCAGTTAAACTTTTCAATAGTTAATATCAAGCGTAGCGTGATGCGCAGAGAGTTCTTGCCCAGAACAGAACCATACCGCCAATCCACACTGTATGCTAATTGTCAATCATCTTTGACGATAGTGGTCCTGAGAGAAATGCTGACATCAATATTTACTAGTTTTTATGAGTTTTTTCTTTTCCATATTTTCACAATTTGTTCATTTACATTTCAGTATTTATACAAATTTGCAACCTGGTAAAGGTATTGACTGTCAAATAGTCTAATTGAACTGTATACAAGAAAGATTTGTGAAATAAAGTTACCAAAGTATAGTTAATAATTTAATGTATAGTTAATAATGAGTCATTTCACTACAAATCATTACAGGTCACTCACTGTTTATAAGCCTTGATTTGACTTGAAGCCTTGAGGTAATTTCACAGTTGTTAAGTTCATCTCTTCTTAATGCTTGTTGAAAATATTTCTCCATCAGCATGTGCTGTGCAATGCTTTGGCTTTGTCTTGCTTTTTTCAAGTAGTATGCTGATGTAGTAACATTCTCATCCTGTTCTACGCTGTTATCACATCGATACTTTGAAGTACTTCATTCTTGCTTCTTTTTTCCTGACATTGCAAGGCTGATTCTGCCTGATTCAAAAGTCTTAAACTTCAAACAGATCCGGCTGACAGAGATTCTGTGGCCATTATTGAGCTTGAGATATCATGCTGAGTGTTATAGAATCAGTTGACTGTGCTAATGTAATTTCCTGTATATTTTGCGCGCTGTTAAGCTCCGCCCACTTGGTTACTGTTGCTCAGTCAAACCAGTTTTTTATAACGTCCCATAGAGCGCAAAATGAAATTGATTTTAACGATAACTTATAAACCTTTAAAGACAGACGTGTTGTGAGCTCTAAGGTTGTTAATCAGTGGTATATGCTTTTGTTGAAGTCATCAGTTTGCATTTTTTTCTACTAATGTTTTTAATGATCGTGTTTAAGAGCGGAATCCCTAGTGAATCCCTTGAATATGTATGCATATATTTCAGTAAACTTAAAATATTTTATTTCTATACATAAAATCAACAACTTTAAATGGATAGTTTTATATTTCTCCATCATTTTTAATTCAATTGTGTCATTTGCAATGGTTCATGGGATTGTAGTTCTTTCTCTTTTTTGTCTGATATCAAATACTTTTTTGCTTCAAGTAAATGTTTGTAATGTTGTAATTCACCTCATAGCTGGTTGGTTTGGTTTATGGCTTATAATGCTTTAACAAAGACTTTTTAATATCCCTATGGGAAAAATTAATGAAAAAAAATACTGTGGGCAGGCATTAATGCACTCTATTATTCTTACATTGGCTACAATAAAGTGCGACGTTGCAAAAAATCTTTTATCTGCCATATTTTGGAATAACAAAATTCTGTGTAAAATATCCAAAAACACATAATATAGCAAAGACGTACATCAGAAAATAGCAAAAACTTAATTTGGCAGACAGCAACAGTTGCTAAGGCAGGATTGGTCAGTGATTTAAGGCAAATGGTCAGTTGCTTATGTTAAATTACAAATGGCTCAGAAACTGGTTCATTTTACTTTATTATGTAAAAGCAGTTCCTCTTATCTTTTTATTGACAGTTAGAATTTGACAAGAGAAAATTATCTTACATTAGCAGAAATGGAAATAGACAGGATCTACATGGAACATTTCTCTTATACTGTAATTTCAACAGCTCCAAGAGTTCATTGTATAAATATCTTTACTTTTTTCCCCTCAGGGTGACAGAAGTGACTCGGCAAGCCCATGTTTGAAGCCTTCTACCAGCCAACCCTGTACCCCAGCTTCAGCTCCCATTTGTCCCAGGACCAGTCCAGGCACTCCTAAAACCATCTTCCCATGTTCACTATCATCTCACCAGGCCTCACCTCCCAAATCTCCCCGCCGTCTCAGCTTCAGTGGTATCTTCCGCTCCTCGTCCAGCTCAGCCCCTGCCAGCATCAAGCTCTTCTCCAAATCTAGAAAAGGTGAGACACAAGTCTGTTATTTTCAGTAATACTGCATATTTCATGCTTGGTGATTAATGAAATGGTTATTGAAGTATAATGTCCTGGCCCTGTTTTTAGGTTATTTTGTTATTTCGCTAATGAAATTAGCTGTTCCTGAGCCATATTATATTATATTATATTATATTATATTATATTATATTATATTATATTATATTATATTATATTATATTATATTATATTATATTATATTATATTATATTATATTATATTATATTATATTATATTATATTATATTATATTATATTATATTATACATAATAAAATATTACATTTATACATATAGAAATATTAATTAAAATGACTGGACAGTGATATACACTAGCATGTTATGTGTCTTAGCTGTTTTTGTATTTTGTGTTATGTATTTTAACATAGCAAGATGCTGTATGTTCTTTCTACCCTCATGAAACATATCACATTATGGCCTGTTTATGAGGACTTGAAGTACTATATGAAGTAATTTGGTCTCATCAAAGCATGCTGTAGATTAAAGGGGTCCTATTATGCTTTTTGACTTTTTGAATTTTAGTAAGTGTGTAGTGTGTATGTTTGGACATAAAAAAGTTCTACAAAGTTACAAATCTCAAAGTCCACTCCAAAGGGAACTACAACGAACGGCTCATTTGGACTACAGCGTTGTTTTCCGGGGTTTTGTGATGTCACAAAGCGGCCCATTAGAATATCATTAAAATAATTCCCGCCTACGGAAATTCGAATGGTTGGGGGGTGGGGAGGGTCGTGGTTATAACGCTTGGTTGAATGCATCAGACAAGACGACGACGACGAAGAAGTACTGCTGCAGAGTTAGTGCATCAGAGAAAACGAAGAAGAAGAAGAGCTGCTGTAGCGTCAAGTTTTCGCCATGTCGAAGAAACGCTGTTTTTTCACCCCGTGCCCAAACGTCTATATTTGGCCTTTCTAAAGCAGATGACGTCAGGAAACAGTAGTTGCAATTTATTTGGCATCGTATCTAAAACATGATTTAGCCAAAAAAAACAATAATGTTACCACTCTAATATGTCTTGCAATATCCATGCGTGCAAAGGTTCTGCGCGATCCTCTTGTTCAATATTCTCTGGGTCTGAATCCGGCTCAAATTGATATGGCAATATTGACGCCATCCTTAACTATACCAGAGCAGACAGAACTTGCTGCTTTGGCAAGGGGCGGGGCAGTACTGAAACACTGTCTAAGCTGGGAGAAAGGTATTTTAATAATGTAAATTATGTGAAAAATATTGCGTTTTTCGAACCACCAAGAATGAGAGCATGTTCTAGTACACCCCCAAAACAAAATCAAGACTTTGTAAAAGAGCATAATAGTACCCCTTTAAATGAAACTCCCAACAATGAAGTTTCCATCAAAATACGGCCAGCTATCCAGTGCATTGTGATTGGCCGAATACCTCAAGCGTGTGACGGAAATGTTACGCCTCCTACCATACTGTGATGCCGTGTCCCGGTGCGAAGAGACAAAAACATTCAAACCCATTACAAACGAGGTGTGGGGGCGTGTTAGAACGAGCCGTTTTAGGTAGGCGTGGTTGACTCTTAACTTTTATAAAGAATATCTCTTTATCTAATATCTAAGACTTTAGTCTTTGCAACTTTACAGATCTTCTTTATGCACCAAGAGCTTGTAACACTCCAAAGAGAAAGAATCGCATCATATGACCCCTTTAAGACAGCAGTTAATACCAAAAACAATTACCAGCATGGTAAGAATTCATTCAGCAACTTCCTGAGTCAGTTTTCTCTGTATACTGATTGCAGATGTTTTGCATCTTCACTTTTGTTATAATGGTTATGGGGAAGCTGATCAGTGACGAAAGGGAACTTTTAACGCAGAGTTTGAGCTCCTGTTGACTCACTTTCAAAACATCAGAACAGGAAGTGGTAAGATCATGATTTGGGTTTTCTAGCCTTTTATTTTTTCTAATGACTAAAGCCATTAGAGCACATGCTATTAGGCCAAATTGTGCAGATCTAATGTGCACATTAAGCAGTTTGATAGATAATGGGGCACAGACATGAGCCCACATCACTGTTTCTCTAGTCAGAGTCTAGTGGTGGCCTGGAAATGACTTGAGTGAGGGCTTGTTACAGGATTTACAGGTCAGTCTCAGACTCACAGCTCATTTGCTGACTTTATGCAACAGTAATGCTAGGAGAATCAAGTTTTTAATATAGAGAATCAATATCTTAAAACAAATACTCCTAACTCCTAAATCATCCTTATGGAAAGCAGTTTCTTTTGGCTTGCTGCTCTGATTAAACTGCATGTCAGTATCAAGAGGAATCAAGTATTAATGTACCATAGCATATCATACCAATATAGATTTTTGGATATTCACAGATTTATTGTGGTGTTGTTTTTTTTTTGTAAAATAAAGTAAATACAGCATCCTAAAAAAATTGAAATTTTGCTTTTAACATAATTGCATCTATTACCATTCTTCATAAGCTTATCACCTAGTTATTTTATTTCTTAATGATGTCAGGTTGTCAGTGAGAGGATTTGGTTTTTTCACTTTCTTTCTTCTGTGGAACATATAAGATATTCTGAAAAAGGTATTTTTTGTCCATACAATGGAAAACATTGGGGTCCAATGTTCTTCAAGATATCTTTTGTGTTCAGCAGAAGAAAGTAAGTCATTTGGGTTTGTAACAACATGAGGGTGAGTAAATCATGACAGAATTTTCTTTATATTTTTTTTGGTTAACTTTCCCTTTAAGAGTCATACTTCTTTTTGGCATTTATAATGTCTTGCAGCTTTATGTAACTCATTTACATTTTTCATTCAGCAGACACTTTCAAATTTGTTCTTGTACTTTGATGCACTTATTTTGTACTTGCACAGAGAATTGCAGGTTCGGTATGGTAGAGTCAACCAATCAAAAGCATGACGTAAAACACAGCACCTTCTCAGTCTGGTTTCAAATGTTAGTTGTTTCGTTCCAGAGATTGTGCCCATGTGGCTGATTAACAGAAGTGCTCCGTTTTCCTCGTGTCAGTTCCAAAATCTGCTGTGGAGAAATATGTAACCAAAATGTTATGCTGTATAACTCTGTGTGTGGGTCAAAGATGAGACGTCCCATTTTGGTTTCCACATCAAATTAAATTTACAGAAGTGATTTTATAGACCCAGAAAGCATATTATATAAGTAAAGTGTCTACTTGATTGTTTCAAATAACTTTTGTAAAAATAAAATGTCAAAACATGGGTGAAATAATGTTCCATCATCATTCAGCATATATAGCATAATAAGTGTTCATACTAAATTTATTTTAAATAATTAAAAATGTCTTGCTGACAAATGGGTAAAACCTAGTGGTTTGAAGGATAGTGGCAAAGATTGGTAAAGATTTAAAATGACAATTAATTAGTTTTGTGTGCTGCACTGTAATCCTTAAGTAGAGTCTTTTAATGCCATCTATGGATTCTTGTTCTAACTAATTTAAAGCTGTATTAAACTTTTATTGTTTTGATGCTTGAAAACCCCTTTTTGCCATATATGATAGTATATAAATGTAATATTTTCATGGCAATGGCTCACAAAGTCACTACGATCAGTTGATCTTGAGAGAAACTCTTTTATCTATAAATTACAACTTTACTTTCTAAATGAAAAGTATTCAAGACATGAAAATCTTTGGATTTTCTTAAGAAATGTAGTGGTTAAAGAGTCTACGCCATCAAAAAAGAGCAGTGAGTCATTCTGTCCTAATAGTATTAGGAGGTTTGTTTGTCTCAGTGAGAAGAATATTCCAGAAATCCATCCAATGTTAGAGACAACAGTCAGTGGGAAGACTGAGTGCCTGTTACTGTGTGCCATACTGAACCAAATCGAATGTACCTAAAAATTTCTGGCCACGTTTCCAGATTGTTCTCCAATAAGGGGTTCTTCCGAAGTCAGTTTTTTTTTTTGCCTCGTTTTGCCAAAAGTTCACAGGAAGTGGCCTCCTTCATTGCCAAAATCTTTAGAGCCATTTTAAATTGCCAAGTGCTCATTTCATAGAGCTCTTTTCATGGACTTATGCTGATCATTGTGGTGGCATATTGAGGCTTTATAAATACATGTCTTTGTGCAGTTTATTTGAATAATATGAAACCTGAGCTGCTGCATGCACTGAGATAACCTAACCTAATCTCACTTCATATCATCTGTTTAACCTGCTCCACTTCTGTTTAATCATACATGTTATACTTATATATGATATAGTGGAGAAATTCATTCTGGCCTACACTCACATTAGAGTTCAAACGTGTTTCGGCGATCTCCTTTACTTCCCACCAGAAGGCACTGCGAGTCACACAATCGTCTTATATCATATATCCTAGTTTGAAGGGTCAGATTATAAACACAGTTGTGTTGTGTATTGTAGTAAGACAGACATTGATCCATTGAATAAATATGGTCTGCTTTGTTTGTCCACTGAATCTTCAGTTATGTTTCATGTTCTCTGAACATGTATAGATGGCTTTATTCTCTTTGGATTGGATTGATGCAACACCAGGAGTCAGACACCACAGGGACACAGAGCTCTCGGCATCAGCACTGCTGTAAAGTTTCTGTATTATTGTCTTGGAGAGAAGACAGTTCTGAACAATCGGGAGGAGATGGGATTTCAAACTGCAGAAGTGACACTATAGGATTGAAAATCCAGATTCTAAGGGCGTGTTCACACCTATAGTTTGGTTCTCTTAGTTCTTTTGGTTGGGACCCAAAAAGAAAATAATACATTTAGTGTTGTTTTGCTTAGCTCTCCTTGTATGTGTGTATATCAGTGGCGAGCAGTGACTTTTCTTTAACCGGGTAGCCTATGCTATCTAATTTATTAATTTAAGAGACGTATTATTCCCAAACGTATTATTCTCAAATGGCTTGGCTATGCAGAGCATTCGCAGCTTAAATGGACTGCACACCCCTGGTGTACATATGGTGGTATTTTTACCA